CTCTCTCTCTACTCTACTCTCTCTCTCTCTCTCTCTCTCTCTCTCTCTCTCTCTCTCTCTCTCTCTCTCTCTCTCTCTCTCTCTCTCTCTCTCTCTCTCTCTCTCTCTCTCTCTCTCTCTCTCTCATTCTCTCTCCTTCTTTATTTACAAAGTACGGATATTTTTGTACAGACATACATCGTGTACTTAAAGGTAGGTGTGTGCAAACTAGGAAAGATTTAATAAATATAAATATATATATGTGTAATTGTTTATAGATATATATAACAATATTTATAAGTATGTCAAATAAACGTATGTTTATTATTATACCCGGGATTCGTCTATTCTGTTCCCAAATAGGATAGAGAATTTCTACAAAATTCGCGAATTGAGCGGATCGTTGACACGACCAGCGATCAGAACCACCGAGGTTTCCGCGTCGACGATGAAGTAGAGGAACGGATGGACAACTGTAAATGGCACTGGACCTGCCCTCTCGAATAATCCATTACCTGTGAAAAATTATATTATATATTTCATCCGTGAAATAAATAAAATCATCTTGTTCGAAATGTCCATATTACACGTATATTAGTCTAGTGCAGATGAAGAATTTTTAGGTAAATATACGGAAACAGGTAACGAGGTATTTGATAATATATATTAACATGAGAAAAAAAATGAGAATTGGAAACAGCTGACAGATTAATGAAAATATTTACGAGCAACATTCCTCGTAACGATTCAGGAATTCCTAGTAAGCATAATGGAGAACACAACCGCAAGGTCTTTTTATTTATTTTCCTCGGTGAGTCAGGCGCACAGGATATCAGCGATTAAACCAAGCCAACTTTATAACAATACTGAGAATATTCTCGATCGTGGACGGCGTCAATTACAATAAACCGGAAACGAATTCTTCGACGAGCAAACAACGAATTGGCAATAGATTCGACATTTATCGATTAGAGGAAAAAAATTGTATCTTCTGGAATGTTTGCGTGATCGTAATCGTACGACAGCGAATAACTTAACCGTAAAAAAAAAAAAGAAAAAAAAAAGAAAACGAAGGAATTAATTACTATGAATCTGTTTTCTTCGAAAGGAGAAGAATAAATTAAGAGTAATACTTGTTCGATTCTCACGATGCAATTCGCTGATAATGTTGGCGGTCAACAACCTTTACGAGAGAAAGTATCGATACAATATAAATATGAATCGTCGTTTCTCGATTTTCACAAAAATTTCTATCTTTAAGAATTCAAACCATTTTCATTCGAAAATTTTTAATAAAATTCTTTCTTAATTTTAAATTAGCTAAATGTATATAAGAGATCCATCGTAACGATAGCAAGCAAGAAGCATGGAATGTAAAAAAGAAAACGAAGAGGAAGAGAGAACGAATCAGACACGCGCCAGTAGTAATGGCCAGACATCGCCAGACGTTTGCCCACTACGTTGCTCAGAAATTGTACGAAATTTATGAAGGGAACGCGGATCATTTCTTGTAGACTTTAGCTATTGGCTAAAAAAAATTTTACAAATAATACCATCAATATACTATCAAAGATTTGGAATCATTATTATGCTTAAGTGGATTGTACAAACTGTTAAGAAACAATTCAAAATTATAGCTTTGAAATGCAAAAATATAAAGAAAATTAAATTAATATATATTCTCAATTTAACAAATCTTCTTCTATAATGTCTATAATAACGTAAGAAAATTATTATTAATAAAATATTCTGAAAATGTAACTACGAGACACGATTCTAAAACTTTTGGTCGATAGTGTAACACAGTGAACGAAGGAATTAGGTATTCCCTTTGTCGTTCTCAGCAACATACACCGATATCTCATTGTTCGTGGACGACGTACACCGGAGAATCGCAATTTCACCGATTGCGTCACGTCTATTGCCTGATCGAACCTTCTGCCAATCGCCGATCACTCCCTCCCTCCACGATAATCCGTGATATCCTCCTCTCCCTTCTTTTTTTCTCTTTTTTTTTTGTTCCTACTAGAAATTCGTGACTGGAAGAAAAGAAAAATCAAGAAATTTGATCAAATCCTCGTAGATGGTGGAATATTGAAATTGTAAGAATGGAAAGTGCAGAAAGAACGTAGAAAGCAGAGAGCAGAAACCTGGATGATGATAGTATCGGTAATAATCCCGACGAAGTGGAACGATCAATGGAGGATCGGTAGGGCGATAGAACGACTCACGAGAATGGGTCCTGTCGGGTTTCATATAATTTCTGATGTTCACACCGATGCTCTGCTGGACGTCTCTAGCGTACACACCTAGGTCAGGTGTCATTGGCGAGAGATCGGCTGTTCTGGGCTCGAACACGTCCAAAATTCCCAACTGAAAATAAGATGAACATTTGACGAGAAAAAGAATATAATTGAATACGATCGAGGGGGACAAAAGTAATTTTAAAAATAACTGCGTCCAGTCGTTCGATAAAAGAAAACGATTGAACATAGCTTATTTAAAAAGACAACATGAAACAGCGTTGGAATTTATAAAACTCGCTATAAAACTCGCGAGAGTAAAATGCTACACAACTTCAAAAGTACGTCTATTAAACAATTCCGTTTCGAATTATCGTGAATTACGTGTCGTCAAACGAGGGTACGTGTTCCTATAACTCTGGTTCGCGGAACGAAACCGTGACGAGAAACGGAAAGTGCACTCAAGATCTGTCGGTTAACGCGATTAAGTAATTAGGAGCTTAACGATCGAAACTAATGGCAAAATATCGGGCGGCGAACACGGCGAGAAGAAATGATTCGATTTCGAGAATCTCTCTTTCCTCGGTTAAAAATATTATTTGATATAAAAAAATTCTCGAGAGAATAACTAAGAAGTTAAGTTCATTTTCCGAAGAAGAAACTCTAGAAGAGATTCCTCGCGATCATCGTACCCTTTGAAGGAAAGACGTCAGTGTGACAAAACCGCGCAACATGAAGGACGGAATGGTAGCCCTGACCCAAGTGGCCTGTAACTGCTTCCGCAACAGTCTTAACGACTTCCCGCCAAGATCTCTGGCCAATCGGTACGTGTCCCTTCTATCCGTGGCCATCATCAGGATGATGTTGTATCTAGGATCCTGAAATTAATGAGTCGAAAAAATAATTTATCGCCAAAAGATATTGAAGATATATTAATTTCCTCTTTTATGAGAATGGCGAGGAGATGAATTTTCGAGAGTTTTTATGGAATAATAAATCTTACATCAAGCGGAAACTCAAGGGCGACCGCGTGCAGCGATGGGAAATAGGCAAAAGGCAAAACGGCGAAGTATCTTGAGGCTGTAACGGAAGAGACGTCGCAACCGTTTACTAAGAATGATATCTCTGTCGAGTCTCTGACGGATGCCTCGTTCAAGCTTGTGGAATAGGGTTTCCAGATGCCTAGATCCTGCATCCAAATCCCTTCATCTGAAAATTAAAAGAATTTAACAAGAATGATAAATTGAAACTAATCAAAAAAAAACATATGCACATGAAAAGACTTTATAAAGATAAAAAAAGACAAATACTTATGTAAGAATTCGATAACAAAGCGTGCCGGATTTACCACTAATTTGGCCCGAGTTTCAAATCCTCGAATTTCAATTTTGTTTTTCAAGCATTATTAATATAATAATCCATTCAAGTTTTTGAGCAAATTCATCAACGTCTTATTAACCAGAACTCCTCTCTACTCATTCATCTTAAACACCATTTTATGAATATTCTTTCTTTATAAATCTACATTCAACGGTCAACGATCTAGACAAAAATAGAAAAAGACGGCAATTAATACCTGGATAACTAGAAAAGAATCCCCTGGGGCTCCTGTCACTACGTTTCCTTCGATTCATCATCGTATTCGAGGATACAGTGGTGGTGATGGTCTTCTGTCCAATCGTCGACCCGATTTCTCCCGCAACGATCGTGACTGGCAATTCGGTAGATTCCATCTCGTTTGAGATAGACGACTGATTGTTCAAAGAGTCCACTGAAATGGTATTCTCGTCGTCAGGTTTATTCGTAAACCTACTAGTCTCATTAATAGACATTTCGTTCGTCTGAATTGTTGTCGGGATCGTCGAATTCGTCGAGATTTCTGTGATATTGACTGGTAGAGTTGTTGACACTTCTGTGACAGTGGCTCCTGCGTTTATCGGCGCAGACATTGTCGGTGGCATGATCGTTGACTCTGGGATAGATTCAGTCATAACTACAGATTCTTTGGTCGTTTGACCGGTAGAAATGGTTGTCGATTCTGGAGTTTCTACGATTATTAACGTGGTAGGTGGTAATGGCGTTTCAGAAGTGGAAGATGGAATAGAAGTAGTACTAGTAGTGGTTGAGGTAGTTGTAGTAGTAGTAAATGGAGTAGTGGAAGTACTTGTTGAAGTTGACAAAGTACTCGTACTTTCCTCGATACTTGGAGATTGGTTAGACAAAGTCACTGTCGTTATAGGTTGAGTGAGATTTGCAATGGTCGTCTGTGGTTCTTCAGAAATTGTAGAAGCTACAGTAGTAATAATTATAATAGGAGTAGTAGAAGGTATAGTAGAAGGCGGTGTACTAGTAACGGATGGAGTAGTAGTTACTATCTCGGAAGATGAAGTTGTAATTAAGTTAGGATTAATAATCGTAGGTATCGAAGAGGTCGTCGTTGTCTCGGTGGATGATGAAGTTACGACGATCGAACTTGACACGGTAGTCATAGCAGCGTTAGGATTATTCGTTAAAACACTAGCAGCAGGAGTAGTTTGCGTCAATTTATCCTGCTCTATCGTGCTTGAAGTTACTATTCCAGTCAGTTCCACCGAGGATGTAGTCGATATTGGTGTCCCAGAATTAGTAATGGTCTCAAAACTCTGTATACCTTGTGTAGTAATAGATTGCGTGGTAATTTCATCAGGAATTACCGTCTTCGTTTCTGTCGTTGATTGTTCGATCGCTACACTACTCGTTGTTTCAGGAGCAAAAGTAGTTTCGTTCATTTCCTCTTCAGGAATGGACAAATCGAATCCGTAGAATCTCAGAATGTCCTCGTATTCAGGCCTCAATCTTGTGTTCTCGTGATTGAGTGTCAAACCCCCGAGAAATCCATCCGCGTTCAGATACGTCTTTAAAGTAGAGAAATAATTACTTCACGCAGATCCTTCATGGATCGTCGATCTTTCATTACGAAATTTGTTCGAAGAGAGCGATGGACCGAGAAAGAAAACCACCGCTACTTAAAAAAAAAAAAGAGAAATTACGCGTTTCAAACGAGCCGTCGAAGCAAATTTTCCGTGCCCGTTTTCCAATTAATCGCCCTTGTCGAACGCATTGCGCAACGATTTCGAGCGATTTTAACGACACCTAAACGCGATCCCGGATAATTCTTACCCTCAATCTACGATGAATATCGCGAAAACCGATCCTGGTGATGTCTCGATCCCGCGGTAGGCCAAGAGCATCGACGATTTGCTGTCTTCCTCTACCGGCCGAGCCCTCGTAGAGCGCGGCCAGGACGAAGCCAACCCCCGTCGGCGAGAATGCAACGTTCCCGTGGGCCGTGTACTGCTGCAGAATCCGCACGCCTAGGTCGTTAATAACGTCTGTGATGATGTCGACCGGCCGATGCGGAACCGGTTGATACCAGCCGTCGAATCCCACGTTGTCGTAGCCATGCACGAACACGGACGACACTGTTAGAATATTCCCATTCAGAAATCTCTTAATTTTACCAATCTTACGAATCTTTCTCGCCAATATTATAACATTTCCTCACTCCCGTACAAACGTACGATCGCCTTCCAATTCATAAATAATCAAAAATCATCGTAACGTCGTTAACTTTTACCGACTAACTTTAAAATTAAATTGCACTGGAATCGGTGTCGATCGTACTCAGCCACCTGAATATAATAATGAAAGAAAGGGGGGTGGCGAAAAAAAAGGTGTGTGAGCATACGTACGTTGCAGCAGGATCAGCCAGGACATCCAGGCGCCCATATTAATCGCGACTGGCTTGGTGGATCACTGGCGGACGAGGATCGCAGGCCGACTGGCATGGACAACACGCACGTACCTCGCGGATTCTCTCCCGTTTCACGAAAGGAAGGAAGGAAGCGCGGACACGGTGGCGCGGAAACGGCGCACAACTCTATTAGGATTAGTCTTAGTCGTCCGCTCTCTACGTCGGAACTGGCTCGCGGATGGTGCACGCCGCCCGCTCGAGCCTCTCTGCCGGCCGCTCTGGGATTTTTTAAACGGCAAGGTCGTCAGGTAGATAAACCCGTGTCTATGTACGCCGTCATATCGCGCGCTCGCCCTTCCCTCTCCTCCTCGAGAAACCGGGAGACGGGGTTCCAGCTTCCCCAGAGGATGTGGTATAGTAGGAGGAGAAGAAGGCGGAGGAGCAGGCGAATTATTCAGAGATATCGTGGTGGATTTGTTGAATGCGAAAGCTACTCGTTCTTTTTCTTTCCTCGAGATTTCGAGGATTTGGATTTGTGGAGTGGGGATTCTCAACCTGTGGTTTTGCCAAGGGTTATATTTGAGAAATACGAATAAATATGCGGTTTGATTTAGTTCTTCATTGATATTGGAATGTCGAGACTCTCTTTTCGATAACGTTTGTTGGTTCCTGTTTATGTTATTCTGATATCCTTTCACGAAATTTGAGATGATTCTCCATAAAGAAATCGATTCTGTCTGAAAGATTTGACTTTTTAAAAATGGAATGAAATATAAAAAAAACATGATATCAAAGAATAGACGATTTAATTTTGTAAATGATAAAATAATATTGTTAAAAATGTGTGAACTACGATCCATCACTATTTTAAAAAAATAAAATGAATAAAAGTTACGAAAATATAGTGGAAGTTCGTATAGTGATATTCTTTCGCAATGTTCGATTGTTGTAAGAAGTTTGTGGATGTTAAGAAATTGAATTTAAAATTCGTGAAAATTAATTCGCTGAGAAAGAATGAATGAATGAATTTTTATCATGGAAGATAACGAACGAATACTTTGGAGATGTAGATAAACGCGTAAACCGACCTTTCTTCACTTTCGCGTTCGCACACTTGCAAATCTCTATTCTTCTGCGAGCATGATCTTAATAAAGTAACTAGTTGTGGCAACTTCCAGCGTAACGTAACAGGGAGCAACTGAATCGTACGCGTCATAAGTCTTACTCAATGTTGCGGTCGTTCACAATGTAATAAACCTTGTTAAGCGCGAAATTCTCTTCCGACGAAATTAACGACTTAACGAAAACAATGAACGAAAGTACCTGTCGCGAGGAGCATCCTTCTGTCATCCCCTTCTTAATTTTACCCGACAAATTTTTCGCAATTCGTGCATTATGCAAAGATGTCTCAAAAATTTTATAATAAATGAACAACCTCTGTTATACTCTTCCAAACGAATTTTTATTGCTCACAATCGACGAGACTATTGGTACAGTCCCGTCTTATAATAATTTTGCACTTATTGTTAGTTATTAAGTACATGTTCCTAAAATTAACCTCACGGAACATTATCCACGAAACATCGCCACGACTCTCGTGCAACTAACGAGATGGAAAAGGATGCCTTGGACATCGGTCATGGAAAGGATCGAACGTTTTCGACGTTGCGTGGATATCCACGCAATATCCGGTGCCGTCCATTATCCGCAAATTAGACGTTCGTGTTGGTAATTGTAATGCGCCGTAAACGTCCTCGGGCCATTGGTCGCCATTTTATTGGCGAGAATTATTACACGTTCGCCTTGCACGTGAATTGAATCACCGAATGGACCAACTCTATTTTAAAATCGGTAACGTTGATCGATATTTGATTTTTCAGAATTAAGAGATATCGAACCGATCCTCTTCACTTCTTTGGAAATTTTTCACTGCAATATGGAAGTCAAAATATCCGGTATAACTTCTCACATATCGAATGAATTAGTTACGATAGAATCGATGAGTTTCATTTCTTTATATAAATCAATTGTGGAAATGGATCAATGGTTATGGATGAACGATTTATGCCTTCGTTCAACGATTCTTTCTCGACTCGATATAATAGAATTTCAAGAAAATGGCGAATTGAGCAAGAATTTCAGGAGTTCTGGTCGTAAGGATTGGTATGTTTTTTGTCGATTAAGCGATGAAAAAAGGCGAAATGGTAATTATCAGGAAAAGAGAAACAAAAGAAACAAAAAGAGCGGTAATACGTGCAATTGAACGTACGTAGGACTTGTTTATATTTTCGAGGAGAAATCCCACGTGATTCGTGTTGGAGATGAAGAAAAATAATTTAATTATACGTGTCTTAGAATAAGATTTAAGAGACAAAGGGATGAATCAATTTGCGTTCCTTGGCTATCTTACGCCTGTGACAATAGAACTCGCAAAAGAGAAAGAGGAAAGCCAACGTGATACCTGAAACGATGACAAAATCTTTCTTACTTGAAAAAGATAAGACTTTAATCACCATCTTGACACACGAAAGATAAATACCTTACCTATGAATAATACAAAAAATATTCCTTGCATATCAGCGACGTTCACTTTTCGTTTGTTCACCGCCTGATTGCTACCTGGCGCTTCCCAACATTTATCTTTCATCGGCATCCTCTCCGTGATCCATTTATTCATCAATCCGGACTCTAACATTCGATGCAGTCTAAATTATCCAAAAAAAAAAAAAAGAATTCAACTCGATTCACGGAATTTTATTTTAGAATAAAATAAAAACTATTAAAAATAATTCCTGACATCGATCCTCCAGAAGTCAACGTACAACTTACTCCGCGTTAATGACAGGCAGATAAGGACTGCCGTACGGGATGATCATCGCGATAGGCTCGTCGAGAAACTCGTCCATGCTCAGGGAGAAATGGCAGCTACCGGTCAGCAAGAAATCCTTCCTCATCAAGAACCTATTTCGCGAACCAGTTAACTTCCACGCTGGAATTTCCACCTGGTTTCGACCAGTGATAAATGAAACGATACCTGAGGGAACTCCTCCAGTCGATCAGAGCGTGTTTCCCTTCCTTTACACGCCCCACCAATCTCTCCTCCTCCGTATCGTTATGCCTCTCGGCGCGGGAGAGTAGAACGTGGTATTTAGGCTCCTCGGCGTTCTGTAGATACATCTCGAGGAAGCTACCGTTCGGGAAGCCCCAACTGATTCTATCCTTATGCGCGATCAAATCCTCCACGCTCAAGATAGAGGTGTCCATTCGAGGAAAAGTGAGAAAGGCGACCAGACTTCCGGAATACGTCGCCACCAGGACCATCACGACCAGCCACCATATACCGATCAGTATGCGAGCGCTGTCATTATGCGGTAGATACATACCACCTGGAATTTTTCGGATGATATGTGATCCCCTTCGCGCTACTTTGCTCGTTGAATTCTAATTAGCCGGTGGGTGGAGAAAGACTACTGCGTCGAAACGAGAGGAATTTTATCGAGTTTCTCCAAACTTCCAACCATTTTTGCATTGGAAACGTTACATTATTGAAGCGAATATACGAGTACGTATATATATACTCTTATCAATTATAATCAGTTTGCCATTCTACATTGACGTGATGTGATTTCAAAGATAAGGATCTTTAATGATTAAAAAATTTCAATTTCTGCGTCTCTCTCTCTTTCTCTCTCTCTACTTAGTATTCTATTAAATAAATTACGCAATATTAGGAGACGCTATTTCCAATAGATATCATTTTTTTAAATCGATCTGCGAAAATAAAATTTGTACAGAAGAAATCTGTACAACGCTAATGATCGGTAATAAAATCACTGCAGGGAGGTATCACAAGTTTCCATCAGTGCAAATATAAAAGAAATAGTGTTGGTTTACGGGATAATAAAATCGTACCTTGTTGAAGAAGTGCCCCGTACACGTACCACACACATTGCCAGGAGGAGTTGAGACCGGAGGCCTTGGTGCTGTACGGGCTGTACTTGTGGATCAGGTATAAAATCGGACCCATTATGATAATGGACACAGCCAGACAGGCCCACGTCTGAAAGGCAGCCGGAACATAAGAGGAATGCCAGCCAACATACCGAACTTGAACGACGACAATCTTTATAGTTCTGTCATTATGCGCTATTACGCGGTGGAATGCCGAAACATTAGCGAACGCTTTTAAAACGAGTAAGAGGTATCTCTCCGCGATCTTTGTGTAACTACGCCGATTCGTTTCTGTCACTTTTTCGCCAAGAAAACCTCGTAAGAAATTATGGAGAGTTACTAATGTAACGTAATATCAGATGTTTTTCGATTCTTATCCTCGAGTTGTCTTCACGAGCCAATTTGTTGGGTTAATTTGTTCATTATTATTTCGAGATTCGGTAACGATTTGAATTTGGTATTCTTATTTCGAAAGAAAAATAAGGATTTAAATTCAATTGCAAACCTCTTTGGTGAACGGCGAAGCGAATAAGAGAACTCTAGACAGTTGGCTGGGTTTCGCTGTTAAAAAGCTGTATGTCTGCACGAAAATAGGCACGGTATAATTGAACGTGGTATTCCCACATTCGTTCACGGTCAACGCGCACGCAGCCAAAAGAACTTTCTTCTGGCGCACCAAATCGATTATTTCCAATGGTACTTTCTTCGTGGTCGACATGGTCATTTCTTTGATTTTCTACGAACAGAATCGAGAATTGATAAAAATAGTGACAAAATATTTTTGTGAAAATTCTTACCTCGCCCAGCTTGGCAAATTGAGAAGTGTTCCAGGATCTCGAAATCTGACTCGTCTCCGGCATGATCACCGTGTACGTGAAGTTCAGTTTCATGCTGAGGTAATTGATCGCGTCGAATATCAATCCTTCGTACAATTTTTTACCCGTTTTGCTCATAGAAATTATCTGCCATGGTGGATTCTAAAATAACAATCGTTCGTGTTTAGTTATATTTACATTTAACTTAACAAAGAAATTTCGAGTGAAAGTTTAAGAAAAATTAACTTTCTAATAAAATATGAAACTCGATGGTTTTTAATAACAAGATACTTTTCTTGCAAATAATAATAATAAATTGGAAAATTGAAATCGTTTACCCACGTGATAAGTCGCGATTGGTAAATTAATTCCTCTGAATCCGTGCACGATGTGAGGAAATATCACATCCGTAAGGTTTACGCCAATAATAGGTGTCCACGTTCCTATATCCAACAAGTGAGCCATATTTTTATCATGAGAGAAGAAATTTCCCCACGTTATGGACGAGAAGAATCTCCATAACAGACATTGTCCACAAACACTGTTCGAAGCAGACGTGTTTCGGGAAAGGTGTATCTGACGAGAAACATAGTTTGGATTTTGGTCTGGCTAAAACACGATGTAAATGTCATGTTACAAATTCACTGACTCTGACATTCTTCAAGAGCTCGGTTCGCCTCTTGCTTTTCGTCAGTCTGATCATTTCGAACTCATCCTCGTTCATCCTTTTGAACAATTCGATCTCGTTCGTCAAGGAATACTCCAAAGCTTTCGCCAATGCTTCGATCAAGTTCTTGATATAACATTTTAATTTGATCTGAAGCAGAAATCTTTCAACGATTATTTATCATATAGAGAAAAGATAATATAAAGGAATTGCTTAAAATTTTTTAAAAGTTATCAGAAAAATACAATTTTTATTTTTCACAATGAAACAAAGCAATATAATAATATGAATATGTAATTGTTTAAAAATTATTACTTTATAAAAACCATCCAAGTTAGTCGCGTTATACATAAAGGCCACATTTCCTCCTTCTGCCAATAAATTAATGAATGTCGTGTTGATCAAATTCCCTGACACGCTATTTGTGATCACGTACAACCATTGACTACCTGGATGAACCATGTTCAAAGAGTTTGCCTTTAAAAAAAAACATTTCCTCGATAATATGAGTTCTCGTTGACTTTAATCTAAGTTTTTTTCATCATTTGAAATATTTATATTGCATGTGCATCGTTAAAGAACGAAATCTTACTACGGTCATTACATCCGCGACCATGTCGACGGTGGCGATCACCAAAAAGCAATGTCCTAATTGATCCACGTGAAAATCGTTCAACGTCTTCTTCACCGAACTTTTCCTCCCGCCTCCCGTGTTTCCGTGTCTCAACGAGAAAATCGACCTAGAGATTAGATTCATTCGCTTGTTCGGTAACTTATTCGAAATGGCTTTCAACACTCTACTGATCGTGTCCCTGTCTGAAACGAGGCGTGAACACGTGTTCGCATTAGATAAAAGGATCGTGACGTTATCGTTGCTACTAGTTGCCTTATCACCGAACGTATCGTCGTGAAGGATGTTGATCACGTTCCAGGACAGAATATCTGTCATTCTTAGGTCGAGAAAAATCTGTGACAGCTCTTCTCCTGGAACGATCGATGGCACTGTTATACCATCAGTGTCTGGGATTCGAGGACAGTCTGGATCTTCAAATGAAAAAAAAAATTCCTTTTCAGGATCTTTTTAATTATATTATAATTAAAATATCTAGGAAATGGTTACTCGTGTACCTGTTATGGCGAAATGTGTCAGTTCTTCCTTTTGCGCGACCTCGTGCAGATGCCAGGTTAGATAGCAGGTCGCGACAGACAAAAGAATTGTATAGTCTTTGTGGCAATTAAAAGATGTAAAAGGTTAATGAATAATCGAAGCAATAATTGAAATGATAATTATTTATTTATAGATGGAAAAATTACCTTTAAAATTAACATTCATATCGCGAAATACGCGTATTGAGATACTACCTAAGTTCATCTCCTTCTTCACAGCATCTGTGATAAGATCTTGTATTACTTTTGTGGCATTTTGGTATTCGTCTTTGTTATTGAAGAACCTTTATCGATGATGATAGCTATTGAAAAAATTCTTTTTCACCAAACTTTACTCAACTTTATTCGTTTTTTTTTTTTTTTTTAATTAATTTATCGTATAAGAATTCTTTTTTTTTTTCGAAAGATAAATCACTCATACCCATAGTAGCATTAGAAGTGATCAGAGATGGAAAATCATTGTAACTGCTCCCATAATTGATGCACCAAACCAACAAAAGAACCGATATCATTTCTATTGACAAACTGAAATAACCACGCGTATTATTCGCACAATATATAACCGAGGACACTTGTGAATAATGCATCACTTCATTAGTTTAGTCGATCCTTTATTACAAGCCAAGTTGATCACGATCACGAGCACTGTGCCAAGCAGGCCAAATACAATTTGATGCACCACGAATCACGGGAAAGGTCAGTTCTTTAATAACTAACTACAGAACGATCGAATCCCTGTGAAATTGAAACGGGACATTGTTTAGCCTAGTTGCGTGTGATACCGAGCCTAAGCTTTTTAATACTATATAATATACAGTACCAGAAAAAAAAGGAATTTATCAAGATAAAAATGTAAAAAGGCAAGAATTTAATACATTTTCGATTTAAATGTGCAATATATAATTTTATATTTCAATAATTAGATAAATTCTTTCATATGCAAACATAAGTATTGTCCAGTCAAGTGTATTAAATTACAGTTTTGGAAATTACTAAAAATGAAAGAAAGTACTGGTATAGGTCTTTTGAATTGAATGAATGTTGAAATTAATTAAATTGCATCATAAAATCATAATTTCGAATATTTCCTGCTAAATGCTTTCGATTAGTATGTATGCAAAGCTACAACGGCGAGTAATGTTATATTACCTCGTTTGCGTGCATGTTTGTCACTAGCAGAAGACAATTGTATTGTTTCATATCGGTTGGTGTACCACTTCCGTGTAGCAAAACCAAAGATAAAACCTGGTAGCGTCGATTGCATTATTCCAATTTACACGTTGCTGTCATTAATAAGAAAAATCATCCATTGCTTCGTGATTTTATTTTTCATCGTAGAGACGTTTCGAATTCCTTTTATTCTGTTCTTTGTGTCTCATTTCGATTACACACTACCGTATAATACTATATAACCAGAAAAATAATGTTAAGTTCTTATTTCAAATACTTCTATTTCAAATAACATTCAGTTTTTACAATACATATAATATAATCGGAATGAAAAGAGTGATAATTGAAAATAGAAAAAATACATTATATTGTCGCTTATAAACGGAAGTCGCGATGTGTCGCAATGCTTATCTACAACCAAGTCTCGCGTATAGAAAGAAAGCAAACAAGCACGATTTAAATCATCTCCCGTCTCGTTCGCATTGATTACACTTTGGAATTCCAGACGTCACATCGAACGAAATAACTCGAATATAATGTAAGATACGTTGATAAAAATTCGGTGTAAATAAAATTAGACGAATTAAAATAACAGAAGACGAAACAAAAGTTATCTTTCAGAATAGTCGCGCTGCTACGATCGTTCGTGACAATTCGGGCGACATCGTACGGACGGAGGACGTGCATGCTTCTATTACTCGACAGTTGGCTCCGAATGTGTGGGGAACCATGCAAGAACGGAACGATTTGTGTACGTACGTATATACCTAACGCGACATATCCGTGCAACACGTACACATAGAAACGAGCAAATTTTTCTCCTCGGAAATCTAGTCGACGTTAACGTCGGGCTCAAAGCTTTTGTGAAATGTCAAGCACCATACATTATGATGGGTTGAATGTGTTCGGGAAAACTGTCAGATTAATCGCAAAGGATAGAGCACCGTTCGAAAGCAGAGGCAAACCAGTGAGAGGAATAGCACGGACGGGAAAAAGTGGGAGTGAAAGTGGAAAAATTCACTTTTTCGAAATTATAAGGGGAACAAAGGTACGTTCCTAGTGATACGTGAGACTGCTAATGTTTCGCGGAAACGATGGAGCCTGAGGAACCTCTGTTACAAGGTATCCTGCTGTTACCACCGCAGGGAATGTTAGGACAGCTCAAGGTTGGTTAACATTAGCATGGATAAACGTGTATTTCGAATTCTAGTGATCCATTTGCTGAATAGATTCTTTCTATAATTTTATTTATTCTAATCTTTCGATAACTAAACATATTGATCGATTCAACTATTTGTTATTAATGATCGCCATCAAGAAATAACCTATAAAGTTTAGATAATAATATTCCAAATATTTCAATGACGCTAAATCGAACTTGATACACGTCATTCTTAATTTTATATGACTTTCGAAATACACAAAAATCTATATTCTTCTTTTTCATTGAATTAAAACATTAATATTGAAAGACAATTGTATTATTTATATTTTTGTATTATTTACAGAAATCTTGGCATAAAAGATTTTGTCAGCTGTTTAGGACTAGTAACTATGGAATCAAACGTGTTGAAATATATGATAATCAAGAAGAAGCTATAATGCAATCACATGCTCCTCGTATCATCACATTAGATGCATGCATTAAAATTGCACCTAGTAATCAGTCACATGTATTTACTGTAAGTAAATATTTAACAAAAGATTTAACAAACAATGTGAAATGTCTATTTATTTTTGTGTTTATATGTAGGTTGTGACTAAGTCAGGCATTCATTATTTTGGATGTTATTCTGAATCTGATATGACTCATTGGATTACTGCATTTCAGTTAGTAGCATTTAAAGATAGTGTGTCTAATCAGACAATAGAAGAAAATAATGATCTATATTGTACCAGTGGAGAAGGAGTATTTTCTGTTAAAGTTGTAGAAACGGATGCATCTAAACGATGTGGTTTAGAAACTAGAAACTATACACTTATAGTAGCTGCAGTTGATATTAAATTAATGGATGGAGATGTAGTTCTATTCACTTGGCCATATCGATATATTAGGAGATATGGTTACAAGGATGGAAAATTCATTTTTGAAGCAGGAAGAAAATGTGAATCTGGAGAAGGTTCTTTCCGCTTGGAACATAGCAGTCAACAAGAAATTTTTCGTTGTATGTATTCCAAAATGAGATCAATGAAAAAATTAATGAATGAGGAAAGTAATCCAAACATTGAATGCAATGATGCTCAATATCATGCAGCTTTATCAATGGAAGCTGGATCAAGAGCAGCATTACCTCCTTCTCCAAATAGTTCTGCTAATTTAATTGATATTGATTTTTCACCTCAAAATTCTCAAAAACAATCGAGTTCTTCATCTAATTTAGATACTAGTTTATCTTCGAAGCCTTCTTTGCCTATTGTTAAACCAAAACCCGCAAAACCTCCGCGAAAATATGTTTTTACAGGTATATTAGATAAAAGAAATGTAGATCTTGAATCATCAGATTTACCCACGTGCGGAGAATATAAAGCGTTAAATCGAGATAATTCACCGGAGATGTCTCAAAAAACAATAGGAAGTTCTATATTAGATGATGAAGAAAGACATCCTTATGATTTAGTAGAAGTAAGAAATGATGCATGGAAAACACATGGTATTGATAATATACATCATACGGAGAGATCAAATTCATCAAATAGTGACAAAGACAAAGAAAATGAAGATGATTTCCAATATGAAACAATGATGCCTATGATTACATCCCAAAGCTCATCAAAAAGTAAACCTAATATTACAGAAAATTCAATAACGAATAATCCAATATCGCCGATTAATCATATTCCTAATGATGAATCTGATTATGATAAACTAGAACATTTTGGTTCTGCAAATTCTAAAATTAATCAAAAAAGTTCATACAAATTTGGAAATTTTAACAATGCATCTCAAAATTCATATTCTACTATTTCTTTAAATAATACTGTAACTGATACAAATGCTGTATGGTCTAATTATGATATTGTCGAAGATATGTCTGCTGTTAGATTGGCAGATGATAGTCACCTTGGATATGGTGTCATTAGAAAGAAAACAAATCATTCTGAATCTGCATCTACTAGCAGTAATATGGGTCCAAAGCATAAAGTGTTTAATAATAGTGAATATGCAATTGTATCAAAACCAAAAAGGGTATAAAAAATTTAAAATAACTTCATTTGATAGTGATTCAAAAACATTATATTAGTTCTATTCCAGAAGTTTTTAACTTTCGAAAATAATAAGAAAATACTAGTCTATAATATGACTAGGGTAAGTCCGTTTTTATAGTGCTAAATGAAAAATTAAATGCTTATATTTTATAATTTTATTACAGAAATGAAATAACATTTATTCTGTACAGATTATTTTAAGAAACACTAGTCTTTTTAATCACTGTCAATTATAATAGAAATAATTATTTTTAAAGACAAAATGATTTTATACATATACATTCTAATAATTTTTAAAATATATTAATAAATATTAGAAACATTAGTTTCTAAATATGATAAAATTATTAAGATTCAATATTGGATTATGAAAATATTAAAATAATTGCAATAAAAAGATATAGTGCCTTATATCATTAAATATAATAATTAAAATCATTAAATATAGCTTAATGATAAAATGAAACAAAATTTAAATGTACATGTCATTCCAACATTTGGTGTACTTAGACATTTTTAATATTATTATTATTCATAGTCCTTTATTAATACTGTTGCAAGCTCAACAGAAGTTGTGCCTTTAGAAATATTTAAAATAAACATAGTTTTTAAATGTAGAATTTAGATATGCATGATAAGAAAAAAATATTAAGTCATTCCTTTTGTTTTCAATATTATATATTTTATATTTATATATATATATATATATATATATGTACTATACATATACACATTTATAAAAGATTTAATTATATTACGTATATTTCACTGTTAAAAAAAACGTTTTTTATAAAAGATACATTATGTACATGTACATATTAATTAATACAAATATCAATATATTGTAATTCCAAAACTTGCCATATAATTTCTACATGTGCCAAGATCTGTCATTTTTATGAATTAAATTTTTATTGATAATAAAATAACAATATTTAACTTGTTTTCATAATAAAATTATATTTACATTTTATATATTGAATAAAAAGGCAAGTCTTATGGGATTTATATAAGATCTGAAAAATTTTATTCAAGAATATATATTTTTTATTAAATTGTACATATTAGAAGTATTTACATGTAATACACATGTGTACAATAGAAACAATTTTGTTTTTTCTAATAATTATAATTTGAAGGATCATAAATATATTTAAATCTTTCAGTGTTAACCAAACTTTGGATATTTTTTTACATATATAATTATAAGATTAACATAATATAAAAAATACATATAGTCAATAATAAATTTAGAAATACACAAACACTGAAATATTTTTTTACCTCTATCTTATCAAAATAAAAATTTCTTTTCTTAAAGAAAATATTCTAATTCCTTTATTCTAATTCCTCTAAAGATGTAACCTTTTTATTTTTATTATGTATGTCTTTTTGTTCTTCAATTAAACGTTGTTCTCTTTCTTTATTATGTTGTATTAAATCAAATTCTGCTTTAGCAACTACTTCGACGTATCCATCAACATCATTTAGCACTTTTCGAACTGTTTCTCCTTTTGCCGCCAATAACCTTTCAATATTTCGCTTATTTTTTAATTCCTCAAACCATCCGAGATTGTCAGCAATTAAATGGTTATTTTTACAACCATCACAACGAATTATAACTAATCCTTTTTCATAAGCTAATTTTGATATAATTTTTCCATTTCGGAAATTACACTTTTTACATGTAAACATCACTTTGATTTTAGCTTCAATTTTGCCAAGCACTTTTTTGTTAGCATCCTTGTTAATTTCTTCTTTCTCTAGTGATTCAGAAAGATTGGTTTTCGTTCGAATAAAAATTGAATCACGTAGATCAACATTAAATTTTCTTTTTCGAATCAATGAGATCTGATGTAAATTTGTAAATTCTCTGGTAAGTGTCAGTTGTATCCCGTATCGAACTATTTGCCGCAATGAAAACATAATGTCCTTTCTCTTTTTTTAAATCTTCAATTATATAGTGCCATTTATGGCAATTGAAAATATTTTCTCCATATATTTTTAAATAATAATATCAATAACAATTTTTTATTACATGAATTACATTACTTACTATTTTTCTCATTCACGTGTACCATTTGCATCGAACTACAGTAAAAGGCAAATTCACATGTATGTACGTTATTATTCTCATTGGTTATTTTCAATATTATATAATTTCATAATGAATTTAATATGCAATTAAATGCAGGAAAAAAGAAAATTTGATTTTTTTGAAAATTAATATTTTATTTTGATGAAAATTCACTCTATACATTATTTTTACTACATTTAAAAATCGATTCTCCAGAAATATATTAGTTATTCAACAAGTATGAAAAAGCCTAAATTGATAATATATGGTAAATACAAATGATAGAAAATGAATTACTAAATATATTTTTTCTCCTATTTTTTCTTTCTTCTTATAAATAAATTATATTGAGGATTCCTCAGGATAACAAGGAAAAGTTTGTTTTTTATGACTAATATTATTGGAATTATTAGTTTTGATCTTATACTAGTTTTTTAGCTTCAAAGAAGCTTTTCAAATGTCTCATTTGCCATGTACCCATAATCAATACAATTACAGTTTGTATTAGAGACCACCAGAATACACGGCGATGTGTACTTTCAGATGTTTGTCTAAAACGTTCTTCTCGATACTGTGAACAAACAATATAAAATTATAATCCAAGTTTTTGATAAAACAATGAAAAAGTAAATAAATCAAATACCCTTTGATAATTTTGTTCCTTTGTTATTTGTTCCACTTGATCAAGAAGTTGATGTATCCTCAACTGTAACTCAGTAAATTTTTCTTTGTGAGCTGTATTGGAATAATCAATAGCATGTTCACCAACTTGAATGTCCAAATGTACTCTCTATATAATGTAATAAACTCAAATATATTAAACAATATAAATAATTATTGTTTTACATTATTAGAATAAAAGTCTTACCAATTGAGCACCACTGAACCAGGAACTAGTATTAGAATATAAACAAATTATATGTTCTCCAGGCATGAAAGAAGTAAAAGAAAATCTTCCTTCTGAACTATACACTCTGGAAAGAATCGTTTTATCATCTGGATCTCGAACTTGCACGTGCATTCCCATTCCCGGGCTGCTCGGGGCGAATCCACCGGTTCTTGGATCATATAATTCAACTTTGTAATTTACTATATAAAAAAACAAAAATTTTTAATAGTCATATCATTGATACGTAATTGATATTATTTTTTATTAACAAATATGTTTAATATACCTAAAACAGTTGTTTCATCTGGAATATCTTCCATGAAACACTTTCGTTCAGTTTCAGCAATGTGAAAATAGAGTCCTGTACCATATTCAAGAATACACAATAATACTAGAAATATACCGTATTTTAACATGATTTTTTATGAGCAGTGCTTTTAATAGCACAGCAAAACTTAAATTACGAAAGAAATTCTACGTGAAACCAAATAGGGCACACGTCACCTTCGAAAACAACAGTGAAGTTCACGTACGCGGCGCTACTGCGCGTTATCGATATTGACTTTCTCGATAATCGAAAAGTAAAAAGATTTAGTAAAATAAAAAACAAAAAATGGACGTTACGTTATTAGCTTTTTTCGCTATTTTAATCATTGTATTGATTCTCATTTGTACAGTGTTTTTAAGACAAAAATCCGGTACGTTTTCGCTCATGCAAAGTTTTTTCGTTATTATTAAAATATCCCTTTCCTTACAACTAAATATATTCCTAACCTTTAATTTTGTTATGAAACAGATGTTTTGTTAATTTTCATAAATATTGAATTAATTGAATGTAATTAAATTTCATAAAATATATAATTAAAATAAAATATATAAATTTAGTTAATTATTACGTCTTTATATTTAATATTAAGACAAAGCATAAAAATTTTATTATTTCGAATGTATTATAGCTGCACGAAAAAAACAAACGAATGTAGAAAGAGTTGCACAAGGTAGACCAATAAGACGAGCTGCAGGTCAAAGGAATGCTAGACGTCGTATGCAAGCAACTTCTAGTCAACAAATTGAAGAAGATGATAATGGATCTGGAAATGAAGCAAATGATGAGGCAGATGAAAAGCCATCCACTCCTGATTTCAAAATAGGTGCAAAAAAGAGAGCAAAATTAGCAGCCAAATCAGAGAAGAAAGCTCAAAGAGAAGCTGCTGAAAGAGAAAGAGAAGAGCGTAAAAAAAGAGAACAACTTCTCCAAGAAGAAAGAGATAAACAATATGAAAAAGAACGAGCAGAAGAATTAAAACAAGAAGAAGCAGAAAGAAAAGCTAGAGAGGAAAAAGAAAAAAGAGAATATGAAGAATATTTGAAAATGAAAGAAGCATTTAGTGTAGAAGAAGAAGGATATGATCAGGAAATCAAAGAAGATGAAGAAAATCTATTGGAGCAGTTTCTTCAATATATTAAACAAAACAAAGTGGTGGTTCTTGAAGATTTGGCTGCATATTTTAATTTAAAAACAGCAAGTGTAATAGAAAGGATTCAAGAGCTTCAAGCAACTGGAAGTTTAACTGGAGTAATTGATGACAGAGGAAAATTTATTTATATTTCTCAGGAAGAACTTGAAGCTGTAGCAAAGTTTGTCAGACAACGTGGTAGAATCAGTATTACTGAATTAGCAGAAAATTCAAACCGTTTGATTAATCTAAATCCAGGAAAACAAAGTATGGTAGAAGCTAGATGAATTATATTATATGATTTTATGTTATAGGACTCTAATATGGGAATATTTTAATAAATTTATATGTTATTTTACATATAAAAAACAAAATTTTTATATACAAAAGCAAAATTTTATTTATATCTTATAAATTTTATATTTTATTTAATTGTAAATAATATCTTTTTAAAATAAGTCTTTACAATTTCTATAGTAAATTAATAAGATGATAATAAATGAAAATAAATCTAATATATAATGCATTTTTTGCCATGCTTAAGAATGTCTCATTAGAATCTTTTTTCTCCCCTTCTTTTTACCATTTTAACGTTTATTTTCAACGATTTGGCCCGGAATAATTGCAATGTTAATAATTTGATTTAAACAATTAATTATTACATTATAGTAATTACATTATAATATAATTTTAAATTATAATTTTAAAATAGAAATGATAAAAATATGTTCAATTACAATTACTTACTACTACACTACTGTGACATTCTATATTTTATAATTACATATTAAGAACAAGTAAAACAAAGAGAGCAAATAGTGGGAAAAGGATAAAGATAGATTAAAATTATTGATATCAGCGCCATCTTCAGAGTGCCGCAAATGAAACACAAAAAAAAGGATAAAAAATAGTGAGAAAAGTATAGATAGATTAGAATTGACTATCAACGCCATCTCTTGAATGTCAAAGAAATATTTTTCTAAAAGCATTCAAGAGATGGCGCTAATCTTAAATTCTTATTCTACTTTATCCTCTTTTTAAAGAGGTATCTTTTATATTTAAGAGATGGCGCTAACAGTTAATTCTTACTCTATCTCTATCCTTCTTCTAATATTTTCTATCCTTTCTTTTTAAGTTTCATTTACGGCACTCTGAAGATGGCGCTGATTTCAATATTTTTATACTATCTTTGTCCTTCTTCCACTATTCGTTTTCTTTGTTTATCATCTATTTATTTTGTAAAATTTATATGTTCAAGCAACAACTTCAATTTGATTAATTTTATAATCTCCTTTACATAACTTATTGATTAAAAATTTTAATTAATTTTATTCGATATATCTTATACGTGTCTATTTTTGTCATGTATATTATATTATATAGAATATATCATGTACATATATATTTATATTTTTATTATTATAAAAAATATATATTTTATGTGTATAAATTTTTTTTCATATGTTATAAGGAACATATATATATATATATATATATATATATATATATATATATTATAT